CTGGACTTGTTCCAGCTGCCCTGAAACATGCTGTTGTCCAGCCCCTTCTTAAAAAGAAAAATCTAGACCCTTCAGTCCTGTCCAATTTCAGACCAATTTTTAAACAACAATTTCTGTCAAAGGTCTTAGAAAAAGTAATCTTTAACCAACTACAGTCTTTCCTTCTCGCCAATGACATCCATGAGAAGTTTCAATCTGGTTTCAAACCATTTCACAGCACTGAAACAGCATTATTGAGAGTCCTAAATGATCTATTTTCAATTGTCGATTCTGGAAAGCTTGCTGTCCTGGTTCTCCTCGACCTGACAGCGGCTTTTGACACTGTAGATCACAGGATTTTATTATCCCGACTTGAACATAGTGTTGGAATCACAGGCTCTGCACTCCTCTGGTTTAAATCCTACCTGACGGATCGCAGTTTTTCAGTTCACTTGAAGGAATTCACCTCGGACACAGCCCCTCTTACATCTGGAGTACCCCAAGGGTCCATTCTTGGCCCAATCCTCTTTCTAATATACATACTGCCATTGGGTTCAATTTTCAGAAAACATAATATCGCTTTTCACTGCTATGCAGATGATGTACAGATTTATCTGCCTTTAAATTCTTGCTGTGGGGATTCTGCACAGCCACTGCTGGATTGCCTAGAGGATGTCAAAGCTTGGATGGAAAACAACTTCCTCAACCTCAATGAAAATAAGACTGAGATTATCATGTTTGGATATAACCCCTCAAATTTTCCCGTTGGTTCATTCAGCTCCCTCAGCCCCAACATTAGGCCTACCGTCAGAAACCTCGGTGTAACCCTCGACAGCGCCTTTAAATTTGACACCCAGGTAAATTCAGTTGTAAAAAACAGCTTCTTCCAGTTAAGACTCCTGGCAAAGATAAAAGGCTATCTATCTCCCACCGACCTGGAACAAGTAACTCATGCTTTCATCACATCACGCCTAGATTATTGCAATTTCCTGTATGTTGGTATTGACCAGTCACTGCTCCATCGTCTACAACTCATACAGAATTCAGCTGCCCGTCTCCTCACTGGAACACGTAAGCGTGACCATATTTCCCCAGTTCTGGCCTCACTCCACTGGCTCCCGGTGCAATTCAGATTTGCTTTTAAAATTCTACTAATAGCATTTAAAGCCTTACATGGGCTCGTGCCAAAATACCTGTCTGACCTGCTGCACTATTATGATCCTGTAAAAACTTTGAGATCATCCAGTCAGCTGCTGCTGGTGGTCCCGCAAACGAGGCTGAGGACTAAAGGCGATCGAGCCTTTAGTGTGGTCGCCCCAAAGCTCTGGAACAGCCTGCCTTTTAACATAAGAGCTGCCCAGACTATAGAGGAGTTTAAGTCCTGTTTAAAAACCCACTTATTTGACTTGGCTTTTAACATTGGAACCTTAGGTTGAGGTAGGGCACCTTTTTACCTTTTTATGTATCTTATTTATTTATTTATTTTTACATTAAAATCCCATATATATGCTTTTTATGTACAGCACTTTGGCAACCTTGGTTATTTTAAATGTGCTATATAAATAAAGTTGACTTGACTTGACTTGACTAGAGATGACAATGGTGCATTGCAAGCCCAGTTGAGGAACAATTTGGCTTCTCTGTTTTTGAAAATGCACAGTGTTCTTCACGTATCAGGCCATGAACAGAAAATTCTCATTGTCTAAACCTCTAGTGCGAGACTCTATCAAAAGGGTTTTTCAGGAACATGATCAGGCAATTAGTGACTCCCTTCTCCATGAATTAGTGGAAGCTTTGATGAAAAATAATGTTTTTGTCAGTGCCACATCAGACGGTCCAGAGCTGTCCACTGCTAAGCGCAGGAAAACATTTGTAAGAAGTAACTACCCTCTGGTAATGCCAGTGCAGTATGCTATAGATTCCAGTGGACACACAGCAGTGTATGTGTCAATACTACAGATGCTTCAAACAATGTTTAGCAATACTGACATTCTTGAGAAGATTCAAGAAAACAAACCATCACCTTCTGGAATGTACACAACTCATGAAGATGGAACATACTTTAAAGAAAATCCACTATTATCAGAAAGTGGAGAGTTGAAACTTTCCCTGATTTTGTATGTGGATGACGTTGAATTAGCTAATCCTTTAGGCACAGCTAGAAATATACTAGAAGAAATACAGGTCCAGTCTGCATGTCATTCAGCTAGCTCTGCTATGCAAAGTACCTGATCTGCAGAAATGCGGTTATCAGAGTGTACTTTCACCTTTGTTGAGATACTTATGCACTCTTGAGTAGGATGGCGTGTTCATTGAAACTCTTGGCCAGTGTATCAGAGGCACTGTATTGTGTGTGGCAGCGGATAATTTGGCTGCCCATGGTCTTGCAGGCTTTGTCCAGAGTTTCCAAGGAAACTATGTTTGCAGATTCTGTTGCTGTACTACAAGTGAGATCCAGTCCAGTGAAGCTTCTGAAGCGGGCTTAAACATGAGAACAAAGGCGCAGAATGCAGAGTGCTGTGCAGGGAGAAAGTGAACCTCACTTTGGTGTTAAATCTAAGTGTGTTCTTAGTGAGGCATTGCAGCATTTTCATCCCATTACTGGTTTCCCACCTGATATACTTCACAATCTTTTTGAGGGAATAGTGCCAGTTGAGTTGGCGCTGTGCATCCATGAGATGATCCGCCATAAATATTTTACCCTTGAGTATCTGAATGCACAGATCCGGAGATTTCAATATCAGCATGCTGATATGCTGGATAAACCACACGTGATCCACAAGAATTTTGCAGCTAAACAAAGCATTGGTGGGAATGGGCATGAAAACTGCACTTTTCTGTGGTTATTACCACTAATGGTAGGAAGTAAAGTCCCAGAAGGAGATGATGCCTGGGCCATATTGATGGATCTCAAAGACATTGTGCAACTGGTGTTGTCTCCATCTTTCACAGAGGAGTCCATACAGTACATGCAGACTAAAATTAGTGATCACAGACAAGGTCTTAAGGTTGTCTTTCCAGACTTTACGCTACGACCCAAACATCATTATGTGGAGCACTACCAAGAACTGACAAAGCGGTTTGGGCCACTTGTTCACCTATGGACCATGAGGTTTGAAGGGAAATATCGCTTTTTTTAAAGGGTGATACATGACACACATGATTTAAAGAATGTCTTGAAAACTCAGCATATGATAGCAAATTATTTCAGTGCCTCAACATTTTTCAGACCTGACATCCAAGCTTCTAGTGTTGCCTTCATCCAAGTTGACACGCTACCTCAAGTGGCAAAAAACTTCATAGAGACAAAGACCAGTAGCCAGAGCATTTACAGTGCACCAAAGGACTCCATAAGTGGCACAGAGTTTGCAAGAGGGATGTTTGTTTCAGTTGGTGAGACTGGAGGACTTCCAAAGTTCAGCAGGATTGATCACATACTGCTTGTGAATGACTATTTACTTCCATTGCAGAGACTACAACTGAGCATATACGCTCATTTGAGCTGACATCCACAGATCATTTCTAAGTCTATCAGCTGTCAGACCTCAACGACACAGTAAGTTTCCTAGCATACAACATTGATGGACATTTGGTGCTGACGCTAAAAAGATTTATTCTGATCAGAGGGTTAAAAGATTAAGAAGTGGGGAACTGTAGAATCTCATGGAGTTGTGTGGAGAAAAAACACAAGTGTAATCTCACATCCAAGATGCCATAACTGACACTACTGTGTCCCCGCAAGCCTGGACGAAATGAACTAAGCAATTGTTTGTTTGTTTGTTTTTTGTGTGTCAAGTTAAAACAGCAATTGGTGTATTTGTGTGAGTGCAATACCATCTCCACCCAGCTGGCACGTGGGCTACAGAAAATCAAGCACATCCGTCTCTCACTCAGGCCTTCAAGAGCCTATAAGTCTACTCAGCACACCTGTGTTGAAAGAATCTCTACAAACAAAGACCTCATCTTCAAGCTCCCGCAGAAATACCACTGGTAGGAACTGAACTTTAAACCTGTATTCGGAGGACTTAGCTGGCTTTACAAAGATGGATTTATGAAAGTAGTTTATTTTGTTTATTTTGTTTTGATGACTTAAAATTAATTTGTCATTTGTTTGTTTGTAGGTTTTCAACCTGCTTGGGTGTCATGTATTGAAAAGTACAGTGATTTAAAGAAAAAAAAGAGAGAAAAGAGAAATAAAATGAAAAGATGACACTGAGAAGAGTTGGTCTTGGATTTCTTTGATGGGAGCAAGCCCTTGTCAAGTTTGGGCAGAAGCTAAGGTGATTTGTAGAGGACAGAAAACTTGACATTGTGTTTTTTATTTGCATAGGGTATACATTTGAAGTTAATGATGATGATTTTCATCCAGAACTGATAATGTGTTTGACATTGCCTGATGTCAAAGCTCATGTTAGTCATTAATCCTCTTTTTTTTCTTTCTCTTAAATGATAGGACATGGCAGCTCAAAATCTCCTTCTTCATGTCCATATTTCTACTGACATTGTCAGGAAGATGACCTTGCCTTCACGTCCAGAGAGTGTAGATGAGCTGAAAACCAAGATAAAAGCCAAGTTCCAGCTAGACTTTGACTTTAGCTTATCTTATGAAGACCCAGATTTTGATGGGCAGTTATGCTCTTTTGTAGACATTGATGAGCTTCCGCAGAAGGCTGTATTAAAAGTAATTCCGTGTGAGAGTGATGGAAGCTCTGTAGCATCAGATGAAACCATCATACTTCCCCATGCAATGACCCCACAGAGAGTTGATAGATGGCCCACAGTTTTTCCAGTGCCCACTTTTTCATATGAGGTGGAGCTTATACTTGGAAAAGGAAATGTTGCATTTGAGAGAACTGGGAAAACTCTGAAATTGTCGAAGGGCCAAAAACACAACATCCTTGAGACCCTTGCAGGTAAAATGCATGCTTTTAAAGCATATCCCACTGATACGGAATTTTCAGAGTTTGCAAAAGCAATTGTGACTAAACATCCGTGTCTAAAAGAGCCATGATCTCAGACAGGATGGTACGGGTGGAAAAACAGTTTAAACTTTAAAATGGGGACCTATAGAACAAAGTTGAGTCAAGCTGGATTTAGTGAAGTAGCCATAAATTCTGGAAAACGGAGCAAAAACAACCCTGACAAACAGCCTGCCCTCAGTAACATTAAAAGACCAAAACGGGCAGAAGTGAATTGTCTCCCAAATTTCCCAAGAGGGGAAGATCTTGGAAGCTTGGAGCAAATCGGACTCCAAATTTTAGATGAAGTCAAGATGACCGACAAAAACCTCACCCAGATTACAGCTCTGATGAAAACTACCTCTGCCTTGCGGCGAAAAGAAGTCATCAGCGATGATCTACCTGTTAGAGAGATCTTGGAACGCTCGCCTGCCCTTGGAATTGAGTCCCAGGTGAATATTTTTCAGTGATAAAATCTAAAAAATCAAACAATGACACTTGGCTTATAATTTCCTAATGTTATACATAAACCCACATATGAAATGCAGTTCCAGTGATTTGCCATTATGCTTGAGATTTTCTGTTTGTTTAGTTCTGTATTCATTATATACAGGGGTTGGACAATGAAACTTAAACACCTGGTTTTAGACCACAATCATTCATTAGTATGGTGTAGGGCCTCCTTTTGCAGCCAATACAGCGTCAATTCGTGTTGGGAATGACATATACAAGTCCTGCACAGTGGTCAGAGGGATTTTAAGCCATTCTTCTTGCAGGATAGTGGCCAGGTCACGACGTGATGCTGGTGGAGGCAAAATGTTTCCTGACTCGCTCCTCCAAAACACCCCAAAGTGGCTCAATAATATTTAAATCTGGTGACTGTGCAGGCCATGGGAGATGTTCAACTTCACTCTCATGTTCATCAAACCAATCTTTCACCAGTCTTGCTGTGTGTATTGGTGCATTGTCATCCTTATACACGGCACCTCCTTCAGGATACAATGTTTGAACCATTGGATTCAACATGGTCCTCCAGAATGGTTCGGTAGTCCTTGGCAGTGACGCGCCCATCTAGCACAAGTATGGGGCCAAGGGAATGCCATGATATGGCAGCCCAAACCATCACTGACCCACCCCCATGCTTCACTCTGGGCATGCAACAGTCTGGATGGTACGCTTCTTTGGGGCTTCTCCACACCGTAACTCTCCCGGATGTGGGGAAAACAGTAAAGGCGGACTCATCAGAGAACAATAGATGTTTCACATTGCCCACATCCCAAGAGTTGCGCTCCTTGCACCATTGAAACCGACGTTTGGCATTGGCACGAGTGACCGAAGGTTTGGCTATAGCAGCCTGGTCGTGTATATTGACCCTGTGAAGCTCCCGACGGACAGTTTTGGTGGAAACAGGAGAGCTGAGGTGCACATTTAAATCTGCCGTGATTTGGGCAGCTGTGGTTTTATGTTTTTTGGATACAATCCGGGTTAGCACCCGAACATCCCTTTCAGACAGTTTCCTCTTGCCTCCACAGTTAATCTTGTTGGATGTGGTTCGTCCTTCTTGGTGGTATGCTGACATTACCCAGGATACCGTGGCTCTTGATGCATCACAAAGACTTGCTGTCTTGGTCACAGGTGCGCCAGCAAAGACGTGCACCAACAATTTGTCCTCTTTTGAACTCTGGTATTTCACCCATAATGTTGTGTGCATTGCAATATTTTGAGCAAAACTGTGCTCTTACCCTGCTAATTTGACCTTCACAGTCTGCTCTTATTGGTTCAATGTGCAATTAATGAATATTGGCCACCAGGCTGGTCTAATTTAGCCATGAAACCTCCCACACTAAAATGAGAGGTGTTTCAGTTTCATTGTCCAACCCCTGTATGTGGCACATATACTTAGGCATTAAACAGTCCTTTTGTGTTTGCACAGATTTGTTCAGAGTTCCACAGGATCACGAACATCAACCTGAAAAACAATTTCTATGCTGAGCTGGATCGACATGTTCCTCTTCTCCAGAGCTTGTTCATAAAAAAAAAGCTGCACGCACAGAGAAAGTGGCCGAATCCCTTGATAAGCTCTTAAGTGCTTATGACCTCCAGGTGAGTTGACTACACTTCCTGGTGCTTCAGTCATGAACTAACAAAATGGCAGCACCACACCGATACAAACAACTATAGACAGTATTTGCTATTCTCTATTTCACTGGTATCAAAATCATATTTTCATGTCAAAATATTAAGATATTAAATAAAAAATGGGGCGTCTATAATAGACTACAACAGTGTGGATATTGTCTAACATCCAAAGTAAATCAAGAATATGTTCTCTCACTCAAGGAGCAAGTTGACGTCCATGGAAGACGTGCGGTTGTTCTCTGTGCTCTTCCTCATCTGTGCGAGGATGAGTCCAAGTTCCTGAAGATGTGGGATGTAAGTCAGCATATTGTTTTATGTTGTGTGTTTTTATTTTAAACGTTTGCTTGTTTTATGAATTTTGAAAGACTCAGAGTGGTAACATCAGACCACTTCACATCAGACTGTTTTGAGATCTATGAGGCAGAGATGCGAACTGCCAAGCCCACACAATGGAGGTGAATGTTAGATACCTCCCTCTCACAAAATTCATCAAATACACATTCCAACAACTCCACATTCACCACACTATGAAATAATAAGGTAACGTTACGAGACAGAACAGCAAATGCGTAGCCGGAACTGGAAAGTAGTTATGAATAGGAATTTTGGAAATTGGCGAATTTGCCAGACTGGTGAACAATCCCTTTGATTTATTTATACTGACAGTCAATTTATACACAAGGTAGTGGATGCTCTGACCTCCTATTAGCATTTTACAAACTAATTGAACAACTGGACAATTAAAATACTCAGTATAAGTAAATCACATAAAGAGGCAAACGGTTAGTTTCACATTATAATTATCAGAACATGACCAGATATGGTTTTATCATCTGTGGTCTCCATACTATAGCTTGTGATGCCATCACTTTGTATTGGAGTATGCTAAGATGTGTTTCTACTCTCTTTCTCATCTTCAGCCTGTGGAGTCTCCAGAAATGGATCTTCATGACATACCAGTTGGCATCGTTTTGAACTCCGCCAACTCAATTGATCACATATTCCTCGTCCCAAATACGGTTGAAGTTGTCATTGAGGATATATTGTCCTTTTTGGCCTGATTTATGCACTATATTTAGATTACCCAAAAGAATTGGCCAATACTTTTGACTTCATTCAAAAGGTCTTAATGGGCCTGGAAGATGGAAAGTTGAGACCCAGAGTGTTGAGCCTGAAAAATGAACTTTTGGCACGGGAGTAATCTGGCTCTTGTTAACAAAGTTGCTTGAGCAACATATCAGGCACACACAACTGAAACAACTTAATGTTTTGACAGTATTATTGTTCACCTCCAACTCAATGTTTGCCAGTTCATCTTAAAAATTGTATTAGTATGGATACAGTGTCATGCCATGCATTTGTAGGCATATTTGTTTTTTTTGGTCAGTTTTTGAAAATACTCTTTTGTGATGTTTGTTTGTACTGGAAGTTGTTACTGAAGTACAGAGTTTCATATCTTTGCTCTTATGTGATTTTGGAATATGATAATGTAATGCAGTGCTTTAAATTTATTACATTAAACTGAGCTATAATTTTTATTAGTAAAGTTGGACATGTATAACAGGTTCCTTTTATTGTCCATTTGAAAATGTGATAAGTCAGAAAAAACAAACTGTTATTGTACTAATTTGGGTGTTGTTTTACTCAATAAAACAGGACTGAATTTATTCTTGTTCATGTATTTTTTATGTGTTTTGGGTGATTGTGAGTTAAAGTGACCTAAAACAATTTATGTAATCGGTTTCATAAAATAATTCATGTTCTCTTATATCTTATTTTGAGTTAAACCTAAGTAAGTTCTTACTGAGTAGTAGAGTTGGTAGAGCTTCTTTTGATTTGAAAATTTTAAGTAAACAAAAAGTGATAAGATTTTTTTTTAAAGTAATAAAAACATTCAAGTTATATGTACTTGGTTTTGTTTGTACTTTGGAAACAAAATTACTAATAAAACATACTTGATCAGTGAAGTTTGCTAAACTTGTCAAAGTAACTTAATGCCACTTGCCACTTGTGTAAATAACTGAATCAGGACTACTTCTTAAACTTAAAAGAAAAATTCAACTGTAATTAAAAAAAATTATGTAATCAGTTTCAGCAAATTTTTGAGTTCAATGAACTTGTTGGGTTTTACAGTGAGGGATCAAGTCTAAGTCTAAATGAAGAGTAGAATGTGAAATAAAAGAATGTCAGTTTTAGGGGTACCACGACTAGGTGGAAAAATGTGTAGGGATACTTTGAGCCAAAAAAGTTTGGGAACCACTACTGTAGCTGCATCAAAGCTTCACTTAGCTTGTCCTGTAGCCGATCCAGCTCCTCCATTATGCTGTTTACGGGGAACTTCCTCAAAATCTCACTGCCGTCCACCTCAACGCCGAATCATCCTCTTCTACCGAATTGTGTTGCACATTTCAAGATGAAAGACGTCCGACCTTTTTCCAGTTGGCTTTATTGTTTCTCAACGTGGTAAACTCTTCGCAACATCAGGCCTTTTCCGCGTGGCGACGGCCTTTACCGCGCGCCCTTTTCATCAAACGCGCAGCCGACAAAACGCCCCCTTGTGGCGTAACTGCGTCACTACATGCCAAATATAATCTCTTAAAAAATAAGGATCTTGGGGGGGTTGTCCACTTTTCTGGTGATAAAATGAGGCTTCTTCCACATACATCGTATCCTCAGAATATTTCTGTCAAGGTATTCTTTGTGGTTTTGTTGACGGTGACGTGTACTCTGTGTTGTGGAGTGACAACTGAATGAAAAAGAAGCGACCAATGCAATGACTGACTTGCACCAAGTATAGTATATGTATATGTTTATACACCGCATTTGGAGTTGCTCTCACAAAATATCTACAAAAAGAAAAATAATGTTTTCTCTACAAATAAGGTACAATACTTTGCTAGCTTCAAATCCTAAATGAATGACTATAAATATTGAGAACGTTTTTTAAAAACAAATCAAGGAATGATAACCTAAAAGCAAGGCCAAAAAACCCCTACTACATATGACAAACTACTGCAGAAAGGCAGTTAACTTGGACCAAAGCCACTGAATGTACACTGGATTTTATACATCTGTAACCTTACTAACACCTAAATACTGACCAGATACAGTATCTCCACTCAAACATTAAGTGAAAAAAAAAAAGGAAAGTACATGTTTGGGAAGGAAGCCTCCTTCAAGGAGACTGGGGCGACTGTTTCCTGAAACGCAGCAAAAAAACAAATACACTACAGAAGTTAAGAAGCAGTGACTAAGAGAAGCTTGACTATAAAGAAATCAATTTTGGACTAATTTCTTCAACTGCGTAACTGGCAAAAATATATATATAAAGGGATGTCTTGACATTTATGTAAACTTAATTGTTCAGAGAGATATGCTTTTCTCTGGTTCATTAAGATCTCCTATGCTTTGAACCTCGTCTTTAAGCATGTTTGCACTATTCATCATTCCATATATCATTCCATATATTCCATTTATCATGTACATTTTTCAGTCGAAAAACATTGTAACCAAAGTAGAACTGAGTTTTTTTTGTAAACTAGGAAGTGCAAGCAGCATGCATCAATCAGCCACGACAAGGAGACTGTTTTTTTTTTTTTTTTTCTTCTGACCAGCCTCATTTTACCATTAAATGTAACACTTACAAACTCATTTGTGAAGATAGACAAGTAACTGCAACGCATATCTTATTGAATTACTTCTATGGTTCTCTCTGGCCGCAGAATTGTCTGCTTTAAAGCTCCTGTTGATTTTAAAGCCTGATTATCATCCTGGAAATCAACTAATACAACATAACAAAATTGGAAAATTGACTTTGTTTCACCAGTAATGGCCTGGTGAACACAATTTTGGCATGACCACCCTTATTTGAAAAATAAATCATTTTGAAACATCAAAACTTCTTAAAACACTCATTTAAAAGAAGAAATATCATCTATTGTGAGTGTGAATGTTAGATTTAATTTGGCAGGTTTTCTTTTTTCTGTTAAGAAAGGTTTACAGCACATTTAACAGAAGGACTGTACTGTGAAAGCATACCAGAACATTATCTTGACTGTGGTAAGTGACCTGTCACAGTGATAAGGGTAATGTTCCCAGCAAATGGTGCAGATAAATAGGCGAGTGTCAGCTCTGCAGCCTTTAGCTCTCCTGCTCCCCATCAAATCTCTGCAACTTAATGATAAGCTTATAGTTACTGCCCATTATGATGGCATAAATCTGACAAAATGTGTTGGGGGCAAGAGGTGAGCAAATTCATTTGGTAACTCTTTGCATTACATTAGATTCAATTGATTTAATTAAATGAAGTGAGGCAAACAAACTGAGGTGAAATAATGCTAAGCTGAGGAAAGCCCTCATAAAGTCTCTCTCATGAGAGGGAATATGGGGATTTATATTATCCTTGATGGGTTGACCAAAGAGACAGACCAATTAGATAACTTTAGTTCTTATAATGCGTTCAACTAACTTTCTGAAGTTCTCTCATGTTTAGACCAGAAAGGAGAAATTTTCTCAGTTTAATACTTTTAAACATTGGATTAATTCAAGAAAATATCCAAATAAGGGGAACAAAAATTATAATTGATCAATATTTGGTGTTACTAAAGTTACTAAAGTTACTAACTATCTGAAATGTTTCTTAGAAGCTTGCGGAACAGATGCCCAGAATTCCATGGTCACCATGGCTCCTGCTTAGGGGCAGGATGGCGGCATCTTTTAAAACAAACAATAACACAAGCAGACCATATAGTTTTTTCCATTCACATTTCACTACAGCCGGTTTTAAGGACATGTAGAT